AGCCACTGGAAGTACCTGTGTTTTGGAGGGTGCAACGGGGTAGGGCCAGGACCGGCCCAAACAACTCGGGTTTGACCCTGGCTGGGAGGCCAGCCAACACCTGGAGAGAGTTAGGCGCGGCTGAGAGCCGAGGGGCCTGGAGGAGGAGGCCTGTGGGAACTGAGCCAGGACCAGAGGTAGGCTTTAGCCTCCATCCAAAAAGCAGTGCAAATACTGCCCTGGGGCAGAACACGGCTAACTTGGCCTGGCCACCTGGTGTAACTGTTTCTCCCTGTTCCTCCAGCCCAGCATAGTCCCAAGCTTGTCCTGACTGCTTGCCCTGGCTTTTACATGGTTAGAATGCTTCATTCACCCCAGGGGCCAACCATTTCTTCCCTTGGTGAGATGCAGGTGTCAGTTCTTTCTGGCCCCCCAGGCCTGAACTGGCCCTGGACTCCTGCCACAGTTTCCATCTCACCCAGCCCACCCCAGCTTCCGTCCACTTGTGGAATTGCTGGGGTGCAGTGGGTTCTCTGTGGGTTCCTGAGTCAACTCCCTGGGGTGCAGTGGGTTCTCTGTGGATTCCTGAGTCAACTCCCTAGTATGTGCCAGAGCCTGAAGGCTTTCTGGGGCCTGGCGAGAGCAGTGCTGTGGGGTAGATAGAAGGCTCTTGTGGGGCAGAGACTGTGGCAGTTGGGAAGGGACATTGGCAGGCCCCTTTCTGTCCTTGTCATCGGTCACTGAGCTCCAGGCCAAGCATCAGTTGCTGTTGCCCACTCTGGGGTCTGGCCCTCAGTGACTGTTGAAACATGGCCTCTCTCAGGGGGCCAGAACTGGGGTTACACACCGCCCGAGATAACACAGCACAGGCCTGAGAATTGTGACCCTTTGCGTGACCTGTGAGTGTACCTTACCGTCATTCTGTTTCCTTCACACCCAAAGTATGTTTTCCAGGGAAAAAAAGAAAAGAACAAAACAAAAACAGGAAATTTCATTCACCTGCAAAAAAAAAACGGACTTGGCCCTGCTGACACCAAGAAACAGGCAGGGAGTTGGGTGCTTCTTGGGCCCTGGGCATTTGGTGCTATATAAATCAGGGTTACTAGGGCCTGCCCCACCTCCTTACTCTGTTCCCATTGCCCCCGTAGGGCTCCTTGGGTGGAGTTTGGGAAGCTGACCTAATCTCCCCAAGCAATGTCCCAGTTCCCAGGCCAAAGCTAACATCTGCTGGGCCCAACGCCTCAGAACAGCCCTGCTCCCAACCACTTAGCTTTGGCCTCGCTGTGATCCCAGCTGTGTGGATTCATCGTTGTCTCAGCTTGTGGCAGTCCGACTGCCAAGGTGGGCCTCCTTTATGAGAATTGAAGAGGGATTATTCCTTGAGACACGATTTCTCAGAGCCAGCCATAAAAGGCCGAAGCTGGGCCCTCAGCGAGCCACAGAGACTCGGCCTCCTGCCCAGAGGGCCTCCTGGGGCTCATCCTGGGCACAGACTCACGTACTCTCCCCTCCTCACCCTGGTTCTCTCAGTCTCCCCCCGACCCTTCTCCCTCCATTTTTATACTCCTGATTTCACTCTCTGGGATTCCCTCACACAGCGGGAGCCCACAGTACCATATCCAGGTGCCCTCAGTGGCCTTGGACTTCGGAGTCGCCAGCCTGTCATGGTTGCTGGCAGCAGCCCCAACCCCCAGGAGTAGCTTGGCCTGTGCCCCGGGGCTTCCTGGGCATGGAGACCTCCACACAGCCCTGCCCAGTTGATCTGGCTTCTCTGCCTGGTCCGAAGTCCAGATTCCAGTCCCCCAGCTATCTGTACCTCACCTCACCCTGCTGAGACTGCCTGGGTCAAGGGGCTTTTTTGACCCACGTGTCCTATTGCAAGAACAAGAAGGAACCCTTGGGGCGGTGTGGAGTTAAGCATTTCGCTGTTAACCAGAAAGTTGGTGGTTCAAAGCCATCCAGAGGTGCCTTAGAAGAACGAACTGACCATTTACTTCTAAGAGGTCATCGTCTAGAATACCCCATGGGGCCCAGTTCTGTTCTGACACGTGGGGTGACCATGAGTCAGCGTTGGATTGAGGGCAGCTGGCTTGGTTTTACAAGCTGCTGCTCTAGAGAAGTTGCCCGTGGCTAGTCAACTTAAGCCTCTGATTTGGAATTTTCTGGAAATTTTGGTGTCTTACCACAAGGGTAAGCACTGTGTGTGGTTTTTCAGAGCCAGGCTGTTGGTGTGTAGTTCTCAGTTACTGACCAGTGATGAGCTGGTGGCCCTGGCTCCCTCCTGTCTAGCCTAGGCCTGTAACTGCCTACACCATCCCAAGATGGTGCCAGGAGCCCAGTACCACCGCTTCTCATCCTGCAGGAATTTCCAGAAAGTAGCAATCTGACCATCAGAGTACCCGAAGAGTATCCCCCATATCTGTGTACCCACCACGGCAGCGCATTCATCTTGGGGTGCCTGGCACACATTGGTGCTAAACACATACTTAAGACACAGGAAGCCACATGACCACACTTGGAGGAGGCTTGAGGAGTCTTCAAAAGGTTGCTGGAAAACGGAATGGAATGATAATGGGATTTTTCCCACCAAGTTTTGGAGGTCCGCGTGTATTTTACAGGTGAAAAAGTATAGCTCAGAAGTTTATTCCGGAACTTCCGGTCACATATAAGTGCCTCGGGCCAAGCGTTGAGCTTAGCGCCTGCGTGTGTGGAGAGGTTTGGACTCAGGATTGTAGACAGCGCTGCTTCAGTGCAACTGAGCCTGTGGAATGTGTCTGCTGTCATGTTTGTCTAATCAAACATTACTCACTAAAGACAGCTCGTATTAGCTGTTTATCTTATAGACCTGTGTGTGAGGCTTTGATCCAACCGGAGTGGACTCCAAGGGGAACTTGGCTCTCGGGAGTCTGGGCCGTTGACACATTCAGCCAGAGAGATTGGCATGATGAGGACAGCAGCGTGTCATTGGGACGAGGTCCCCAGCCTATCTGTATCCCTCGGTACCTGGGAATTTATGGGACCCGAGGGCTTGTTCAGTCCCTGCTTCTGCTTTTCCGTGACACTGACCTTTTCCATATTCTTCCACTCCCCGTACCTACTATTTCATCCCCTGCAGTCTCGAGTCCACCTGGTCAGGGCCTGTGAATGTGCTCCCCATGGGAAGAGGAGATTGGTGTTTGGTGCTCCAGGATTGACGTCCTTGACTTATTGTCCAGAGCTTGAAGAGGCGCAGCTGTAAAATCGGTTCTAGATTAAACAGTTTCTGCTGCTGTTCGGCGCTGTCCAGTCAGTTCTGACTCAGAGCGACCCTCTGCACAACAGAACGAGACGCTGCTCAGCCCTGCACCAGCCTCACAAGGGCTGTGTTTGAGCCTGTCGACGCTGTCTCTGTGTCGAGTCCATCTCGTTGGCGGTTCCTCTTTTTTTCGCTGACCCTCTACCAAGCATGATATCATTTTCCAGGGACTGGTCCCTCCTCACAATATGTCCAAAGTACAAGAGAACTTTTACCACCCTGACTTCTAAGGATCATTCTGGCTGTACTTCTTCCGAGACAGATTTCTTTGCTCTTCTAGCAGTCCATGGTACTTTTCAGTATTCTTTGCCAATACCTTAATTCAAATGCATCAGTCCTTCTCTGGTCTTACTTATTCATTGTCCAGCTTTTGCATACCTACAAGGCAATTGATAATGCCATGGCTTAGATCTGGAACCCCTTAGTCCTCAAACTGATCTCTTTGTTCTTGAACATTCTAAAGAGGTCTCATGCACTTGACTTCTTGACTGCTGTTTGAAAGGATGTCGATGGTGGCTCCAAGCACAATGAAGTCTTTAACAATTTCCGTCTTTCTCCATTGATCTTGATGTTATTTATCCGTCTGGTTGTGAAGAGTTTTGTTTTCTTTACATTGACGTGCAGCTCAATACTGAAGGCTGTAGTCTTTGATCTTCACCAGTAAGTTTGCTTCCAGCAAGCAAGGTTGTGTCATCTGCATATCACAAGTAGTTAGTGAGTCTTCTTCTAATTTGGATGCCACTCTCTTCTTCGTATAGTCCAGTTTCTCAGATTGTTTGCTCAGCATACAGTTTGATAAGTATGATGAGAGCGTACAATCCTGATGCTGTCCTCATTCTGAATCAGTGTCCCTTTCTGCCATGGTTTCAGCTCTGACTCTGGTGGTTGCTCCAGTTTTCAGTCCTCATGAAGGGAGACAAGGATACAGTCCTCACACAAGACCTTTTTCCTGTTGGTTTCTGCTGCAAGGGAGGCTGGGAAATCTAGTCTTAAGCTGGGGCCATGAATTTGGCTAAAACCAGACAGTTCTACTATTAAAGGAAGGCTTCTAATTATCAGTCTCTGCCCTTAAAGGTACAGTTCACTAAAGGACTTGAATTGGTTGGTGGGAAATAGCATTAAATCGCGTTTAGAGAACTGCTTGTGACCTCGGGAAGGAAGTGGTTTGTAGCACTCCATAGGCTTGTTGTACGACAGGGACCCGCAAACTTTTTGTCAGGGTCAAATGATGAGCATTTTCTGTCTCTGTCATAACAACTCGCCTGCCGTTATAGAGCAAAAGCAGCCAGAGACAGTATAAATGAGCGTGGCTGTGTTCCAATAAAACTTTATTTTTCCTAGAAACAGGCCCATTTGGCTGCCAGGCTATAGTTTGCTAACTTATAAGAGGAATTCATGCAAATGGGATTCATGCATAGCAGAGAGTGGCCTGTAGCCCTGGACAACTAGCAGGACACTATCCCTACTGTTGACTGTTACTACCGGGCACGGGCTCACAGCTGGTAGCTCTGGTGCTAGATCTTGTTGCTGGAGTCTCCTCTTCACTTGGACCCACCGTAGAGCGTGACTGTTGAGACTTTCTCTGCCGTAGGTGTTTGTTAAGCTCCCAGCAATCCTGCGTCTGGGTGCTGTGCTGTCCAGACTGGTACCTTCTAGAAATTCAAAACCGGGTCGAATCAGAAGCCTGCCCAAGTGCCCCCAAGTTCACCTCTGTCTCCCCCTGCAGGGTACGACTTTGCAGCAGTCCTGGAGTGGTTTGCCGAGCGTGTGGACCGCATCATCCTGCTCTTTGACGCCCACAAGCTAGACATCTCTGACGAGTTCTCGGAAGTCATCAAGGCCCTGAAGAACCACGAGGACAAGATCCGCGTGGTGCTCAACAAGGCCGATCAGATCGAGACCCAGCAACTGATGCGGGTCTATGGGGCCCTCATGTGGTCCCTGGGGAAAATCATCAACACCCCCGAGGTGGTGCGGGTGTACATCGGCTCCTTCTGGTCCCACCCGCTGCTCATTCCCGACAACCGCAAGCTCTTTGAGGCCGAGGAACAGGACCTCTTCAAGGACATCCAGTCTCTGCCCCGAAACGCTGCCCTCCGTAAACTCAACGACCTGATCAAGCGAGCACGGCTGGCCAAGGTAGGTGTCGCTTGGGCCGGGTCTGACATAGGTGTCCAAGCCCCGCCCCAGCTGACCACAGGGCCAGACATGTGTTAACTAAGAGTTCTGGTGGTATAGTGGGTAAAGCATCAGGCTGCTAACCAAAAGGTGGGCAGCCAGCCGACGATCCATAGGGGAAAGATGCAGTCAGCTTCCATAAAGACTGACAGCCTCAGAAACCCTACATCTACCTTGTCTTACAGGGTCCCTAACACTCCGAAACCCTATGGGGCAGTTCTGCCTTGTCTTAATATGGTCGCTAAGAGTCGGAATTAATTCAGCAGCAGTGGATTTGGTTTTTGATGCTTAACTTAAGCTTCTCTATCTGGACGCCCGCCCTCTCCACCCAGCCTTCTATGGCTTTTAAAGAGGCTCTGACTGCGCTGACCTCGGACAGGTGGGGGCTGGGCTGGGCCCTGAGCTCTCCCTTGCTTGGCCTGCACAGGCTGGCTGGGCTCTGAGTATACCACCCTGGGGCTGGACACTAGGGACACACACGGTCCCCACCCTCCTGGCACTCGTCAGCCTTAATGGGGAAAACAGGACAGTTAACCACACAATAAAGCTGCATGTTTTTGTATCATCAAGGGTGGACGCAGGGGCCTGGACTGGAGCGGTCTCCTTTGGGGGGGCAGATGATTAAACTTGGGCCAGGAGGAAGGATCAGAGGAGCTGATGCACAGCGGCCTTTGGGCACCCTGGGAAGCCGTACCCACGCTCTGTGGAAACAAGCCCAGCGCCCAGTGCCAGAATCCAGACTGTCCAGAAGTTTGGCATCTTTTTCAGCACCTGGCCAGTGACTCGAGGGAGACCCCAGGCTGGCTGGAGCTCAGACCTCTCATGGAGTCTGAGGCCCCAGGGACAAAGTGTGGTCCTTTCACAAGCTGACTGAATGAAGAGCCCCGTGACACAGTCTCCCAGGATGGGTCATGGAGAGAGATGGCCCCGACTATGGTTAGGGGTAAACCCTGTGGGAGTATTTGACCTGGAGCATGTGACCCACTGGGGATTTCCATTAGGTACCAAGGTGTCCTGCCAGACACTTTCAGTCCCGGGATGATTGTTACTCTTGTCCATGCCTAGTCAGGGTTCCGAGTGGACTTGACGCAGACTTGACTTGAGGACTGTCCTGTTAGTGAGGGCTGCCATAGGCGTTCAGGCTCATGCCATTCTCTGCAGAAATCACCAGAGTCAGAGGCATTTCCAGCCTGGAGCCTGTGTAGCCAGTGTGGCGGGCCGGGGGAGAAGGGGCTGTGGTTCCATGAAGGCTGCCCAGTGGCTCCCGGGATAATTGAGGCCCAAGGAAGGCCCATGGACTGGACCCAATGCTCATCCTAGCACCCCTCTACTGTCTTGGAGCCTGGTGGGCCGCATCTTCGTGCTCCCTGGTCTGTAATGAGAGCTGACCCTTTGCTACCCTGCTGGCTCTGCCCAGCTGTGGTCCATGGACTAGCAGCGGTGGAGCTGGTGAAGAACTAGGTTCTGAACTAGAATCTGCATGTCTAACCTGCGCCCCTGGGAATCTGAGAAGACCTGCATGTAATAGGCCATCCCGAGCTCGGACGGGGTGGCACTGGGGACAAGAGGTAGATCCCTTGCCCAGGCGGCTCCGAACCCCTTTGCCTCTGAGTACAGGGCCCTTGGCTAGCTCTTTCAGCTTATCTTCCAGGACAGACGGGAGCCTTGGGCCGCTGCTCTGCCCTGCCCCCTCGGTCAGTTGAATCACAGGCCCGGGAAACCCCGGGGTCCCCAGCCTGGCTCTGTACTTCTTGTCTCCAGACTTCCTCTTTCTGTAGTGACTAACCCTGTCAGTGCAGACACTTCCCAGCAGTCTAAGCGGGGTGGTGACTGCCCTGCCCACTGTGATACACCTGCCACCACAACCGTGGGAAATCCAAGATTGGCGCATGCTGACGGGCCCAGGGGCCAGCCGTGGCAATGCTGAGGGAGCTTGGGGTGGAATGACAGCAGAATGGAGCTGAGGCCCCTACGTCCTGGTGGCTCAGCTCTGGCAGGCGTAGAGGCACTTGGGGGAGTTGAGAGGTGCCAGTGGACTTGAGTGTGCCACCCGTAAGTGGCAAATGTCTAGCAAGGTACTGGAGCCTACGTAAGATTGGAAATCGTTGGGAACATCGTGTTGATAAAGCAGAGCGTTAACTGCCCAGCTGGAGTCTGTGAGCTCGGCAGAAGTGCTCTGCACTCAGTTGAGCGTGGGGGACAGGTGGGGCTCTGCTGGGCTGGGTAGGAAGCGTGCCCACCCTCCTGCCTAGGAGGGAAACCCAGAGAGGGCTGCTGGCGGACCAGGCCCCTTCCCCACTCATGAGCCATGCATCTTGTGCAACTCGCTTGTCTTACTCTTCGGGTTAGTACGAAGGAAGTAAGAATTCTACCGTGCCTCAAGGTCTTGGTGACGGTTCACTGGTGAGTATGTGAAGTGGTTAGAGCCCTAATGGTGCAGTGCTTAAGCATTTGACTGCTAACAGAGGTCGGTGACTCATACCTACCAGCTGCTCCACTTCTGTGAAGACTCCAGCCTTAGAAACCCCCTGGGATAGCTCTTCTCTGTCTTCTAGAGTTGCTGTGAGCCAGAATCAACTTGCCAGTTACTAGCTTAGTTTGGGGGTTTCTGTGAAGTACCTGGTGGTACTCAACACACTGCACTTGTTGCATTGACGTTTCCTGTACTGTTTGTAAATGCGCCGTCAGTTGTTCAGAGAAGGGTTCTGTCTTCTGCTTCAAGTGCGTTCTCTCCCATCGGTGGCACTCCACAGTCACACCTCGTGGTCTCCGCCCCTTTGGCCCATGAGGCCCTCTGAGCTGGAAACCCGCCTTAAAGCCACATCTTTGTTCCTCTGCAGAGCGGCACCCTTGTCTAGCCTTGCCCGTGAGGCCTTTGCCCCGGGCAACCTGACCTCCCCTCCCCTCTCCTCCCAGGTCCATGCCTATATCATCAGCTCCCTCAAGAAGGAGATGCCTAATGTCTTCGGGAAGGAGAGCAAGAAGAAGGAGCTAGTGAACAACCTGGGCGAGATCTACCAGAAGATTGAGCGGGAGCATCAGATCTCCCCTGGCGACTTCCCCAGCCTCCGCAAGATGCAGGTACGGCTGCGCTGAGCCATCAGGGAGGAAGTAGGGGCCTGGTCCCTGGGGTGGGGCCTCCTAAAGTGGAAGCAGCTGGGTGAATCACCTTGTCAGACCCCACCCAAGACAAGAGGAGGATCTAACGTGACTCACCCTGAGTGGTTGGGAGAGGAGAGTGGGTGTGCCAGGCACTACATGGCATCTGCAGTTAGTGCTCACCACAGCCCTGCCTGGAGGCCTGCTCTCACCACCGTTGAACAGCTTAGGAAGCCGAAGGCAGCTGCTGGGGATCAGGGCCCTGACTTGAAGGCAGCTTTTTCTGCTTTGTGGCCGTTATTTGGACCAGTCTACTCTACAGCCAGAGGGTGCAGTGGCCAGGCCCAGAACAGGGAGGTCTTGAGGGAGCCTCCCACCAACCCTTTTCCTTCCTTCCCTGCCCCCGACAGGAACTTCTCCAGACCCAGGACTTTAGCAAGTTCCAGGCCCTGAAACCTAAGCTGTTGGACACGGTGGACGACATGCTGGCCAACGACATTGCCCGGCTGATGGTGATGGTGCGCCAGGAGGAGTCCCAGATGCCCTCCCAGGCTGTGAAGGGCGGCGCCTTCGAAGGCACCATGAACGGGCCCTTTGGGCATGGCTATGGCGAGGGGGCTGGCGAGGGCATTGACGACATTGAGTGGGTGGTGGGTAAGGACAAGCCCACCTATGATGAGATCTTCTACACCCTGTCGCCCGTCAACGGCAAGATCACAGGGGCCAATGCCAAGAAGGAGATGGTCAAGTCCAAGCTGCCCAACACGGTACTGGGAAAGATCTGGAAGCTGGCTGATGTGGACAAGGACGGGCTGCTGGACGACGAGGAGTTCGCCCTGGCCAACCACCTCATCAAGGTCAAGCTAGAAGGTCACGAGCTGCCCGCTGACCTGCCCCCACACCTGATCCCGCCCTCTAAGCGGAGGCACGAGTGACCGCCCACCACCCAGCCATCTCGGCACCTGGCTGCCCAAGGCCCGGGAGGGCGGAGGGGCGGATCACCAGTTCTCGAGGTCCATAAAGACTGAGCCATACTTCCTCAGCTCTTGTAAAGGAAAACCACCATCTTTCTTTTAAGGCTGTTCCTGGGCCAATGGGGGAGGCAGGGTGACACATGTGAATGATGGAATTTTGTGCACAAGAACTATGGATATTTTTAATATATAACGTTAGAGGCAGTATTCGTTCTTGCCTCCTCCTCTGTCTGGCAGCCCCACATGCACCTTTCTTCTCTCCCTCCCTTCCCTCTGGCTCCAGCCTGGCTGCGCAGCGTGGGCAGCGTGACTGGCTGTGAGGGCCCGTGAACACAGGAAGCACCAGGCCTCCTCCGCTTCTTTCTGAGCTGAACATGACCTGCTCAGACTAGTGGCTTCTGTCCCCGTCCCAGCTCTGCCCCTGCCCTGGGCCTGGACTAATAAGTACTTGTGCCTTTGACTCTGACCTAGGCCTCTCACAGGCCCTGCCCACCCTCTCACACCCCCTTAGCCTCAGCACACCAGGAGCCCTGTCCTCCCTTGGGTCACAGAAGCGAGGCCCAGCTCCCTTTCTTGGGGAACTAAGGGGTATGTGTGAGGAAACGTCTTCCAGAAAAATCTATAAGCTTGATTTTGTTGTCTTGGATGACATCTTCCCTACTTGATGGGACTTTTCCAGGAACATCTGACCACTGGTCAGAAGCTCTTCCTTCCCCACACTCTACCTGGAGCCCATCAATGTGGGGACCCTGCGGAGCACCCCCTGCCTGGGGTTCCAGAGCTGCTGTTCCCTGACTGAGTAGGGGGCTTTTTGCAACTTCCTCCCCCTCTTGTTTGCTGAAGTGTATTCCTCCACACCCCCACTTCACGCTTTCACTTTACTGGAACTTTTTGGTGCCCCTGACCCCGACCATTTGTGGTTTTGAAGTGGGTCTACCTGGCTATGTGTTGGGATTTGGTGTTTGCATTGTGGTAGCAGCGGACAGGGCCCTGGGCCTGGTGTCCGGAACCAGAGCCAGTCTTTCCTCCCTTTACTGCCCCCTCTAGTGTAGGGCAGCATGTGACTTGCTAAGCGGTAAGAAACCCAAGGCAGTATGGTGGTCCTGTGCTCCAGCACAGCCCTGGGGGGACCTTACCAGATAATGGTTGAACAGAGTGACCTCCCTACCTGTTACCCACCAGTGGGTTTCAGGGAATCAGCCCCTCGCCCCATGCTGGTTTCCAGACCTCTGCTGAGTCAGGTTCCTAGGGATGGCCACAGCCCATCATAACAGCATGAGTGGGGAGGACAGGCATCGGCACAGGTCCACTGCTAGGTACTTGTTCACACACCTGTGCCAGGAGGTACCTGAGGACTTTACTTGCATTAAACAATTTGTGCTGAGCTGGCTTCTGGTGCTTAGTCCTTTCCTGTGCCCTCTCACAGGACCTGCTGGGGTGCTGGTCACACTTTGTAGGTGAGGGATGTCTGTGCCCAGTCAGACTCAAAGGGGGGCAGCTGCTACCTCATCTTAGTAGGACGAGGCTTGTAAGGGGTCCCAGGAACTGATGACTTCCATCTGGTGTTCTAGATGGGAACTGAGCAAGAAGTTTATCTGGAGGTAGAGGTAGAGAGTTGGGAGAACCTTTGGTAATTGAGGGGTAGGCAGATCTCCTCATCTCTAACTGGAGCCCCACCTTAGCTGGGCTATGGGCACTGAGTGGGGTCAGGTAAACAAGGGGTTGCTTAACCCCAGAGCCAGTCAGCTCCCTGCTCACCCCCCAGGGGCTGAATGAAGACCACGAAGCTGGTACTCAGGCACACAGAGATGATCAGCCAGTTAGCAGGGTGGAACCAGTCAGGCTAGCTGGTGTCTTAGATAAGAGGCTATGTGGACCAGCAGAGAGAGGAAAGGTGACAAATCGGGGGTGGACTCCCCATGGTAGGGTTCAGTAAGGTAGAGACTGCCCCGCAGACATCTGGATGTAGGTACTTGCAGGCTTTGAGGTCCAGGCCCCACTTGGGGCCTTCTACCAGGGCTGGAACCCAGCTGTGAGACCCCCTGTGGGGCCAGGTGTGGGATGACAGCGGTATCTGAGGCTGCTCCTCCCCAGGTGCTGAGTTGCTGTGGTACTACCAGCAGGGCCATCCATGGTGGGCAGGTTTGAGCAGAATTCCCAGACTAGGATTAGGAAGACAGTCCTTCTAATCTACTTCCAGATGGAAATGCTATGGATCACAACAGAAGACTGTCCAATATAGTGCTGGAGGCCGTGTCTCCTAGGTTGGAAAGCTACAGTAATGGGCGTGAGCAGACAAACTATTGTGAAGAAAGTGGGGGACTGGGTGAAGTTTCTGTTGGACATGGGGGGCCCACTCTGGCAACTACCAGCAACAGGTTTACCTTGGCACCTTGACCCTCCGGACATGGTGAGTTCTGTGGTCTCCCCATTTTGCAGCTGAAGAACCCAAGACATTGGAATCCAAAGCAAGTTTTAAAAAGAAAACATTTAGATTCAGATTTGAGAAATCCACACTCAAGATTAAATGTGGTCGCTCCCGGCCAGGGACAGCTCCTCAATTCCAGGGGTCATCTAGCAACAGTAGACCACGCTTGTTCCCTTGTTAGAACATCAAATAAAACAGCAAGAGGACTTACGGGAGGGATGTAGGTTAGAGGTGCCCCCGCCCTGCCCTGCCTGCCTTCCCTGTGGGGCTCTGACCCACATTCTCTGTTCTCAGTACCCGGAATGTGGGTGGGAGCCCCATACAACTGCCCCAGAAAGACAGCTGGTCTCAAAGCATCCCGCCCTGCCCTGCTGCCTGAGTTTGTTTGGATTTTGTAGGCTGTGATGAAGGTTTGGGGGTGGGCAGTCCCCCATTGTCTCCCCACTTTGCTCCCTGACCAGAATCTTGAGTGAAAAGCCCTCTTCAAAGGCCAGCCTGAGGGCCAAGAAGGGGGGGCCCCATCCCACTCCAAGAGCTCCAGGAAGAAGCCCTTTGAACCATCTGCCCAGGGTCTCCACCCCACGTGGAGCACCAGCGCCAGGATTTGGACATTTGAGAGTTCCTTTATAAAGTAGCTGGGTTTTTTCCCTCTTTTTTCTTTTGGTAAAAACATATACAAAAGCCAAAAACCAAAACACAACATACACACCAAAACATCTACCAACACACTCATCCTATTTAGAACTCTGAGACAATGCAGTAGAGACAGTTGTAATTCCAGCCCCCGGGAGTCAACCTCTTACTCTGTTGTCCACATTACCAGCAGACTGCTCCTCAATGCTGTTGTGTCTAAAATCCATAAAAGTAAAAAAGTCAGTGAGGGACTGCTAACATTAACCCTCTCAGCCAATCTAGGAAAAGAGTCTCTGCCAAATGTAATTCCAGAGCTAGAATACTGAAGTAGATTGTGAATGTAGTGACTAAGTCACTTCTCATACCTTTGGCTGGCTCATCTTTCTAACAAGAACTTGCTGATAAGTGCCGTCGAGTCGGTTCCAACCCATACATAGCAGCAGTATAGGGTTTCCAAGGAGCGGCTGGTGAATTTGAACCACCTACCTTACAGTTCACACCGAATGCAGTCTCTGGTAGCGTAGTGGTTACGAATCGGGCTGTGAACCGCAAGGTCAGCAGTTCGAAACTACCAGCTGTGCCCGGGAAAAAGATGAGGCTTTCTGCTCCTGTAAAGATTTACAGCCTCAGAAACCCTGTACAGGGTCTCTATGAGCCAGAACCGACTCCACGACACATCACCACCCCCACCACCTTGCAGTCGAGTACATTAACCCACAATGCCACACCAGGACTAAATCGCTCCTCCTTGCCTACCCCTACTTTTCAGCTGCCCCTCAACCAATGAAAGGACTTGGAGAGAGATGGAGGGATTGGGTGTCTAACAAAAATGAAGCTAGGCCAGGTGGTGGGTGGATAAAGTCGTCACCTACAACTAAACTGGTAACGCACCATCCAAAGAGAAGACTGCAGATCTGGACCCCAGGCCATGCAATCGATCAATAAGGTCTCTTCCTACTCAAAGTTCTGGGGTTGTCATCTGGGCTTTGTGACCCAAATTAAAATTTGTGGTAGTTATGTGCCGTGAAATCGGTTCCAACTCATAGCAACCATGTATAGGGTTTCCGAGGCTGTACATCTTTCAAACATAGCAGAAAGCCTCATCTTTTTGCTGCGGAATGGCTGGTAGTTTCGAACTTCTGACCTTGAGGTTACCAATTCATAACCATTATGCTACCAGAGCTCCTTAAAATTATGTGACTGTAATTCTTAATCCATGAGAAAGAGCCAAAAACAAACAACCAAAAAATGGGTTAAAAAAACCCCAACTCAATGGCATGGGGTCCTGTGAATTGGAATCAGCTCTGGTCTGGAGCAGCCAAGACATCAATTGAATTTTTCGTGTTGTGCCAGTGTCTTCAGCCAAAACACCATCAAGGTAACCTCAGTACATCCAAACAACAACAACAAAAACTTCCATCCCTGGTTACCACTAGAAATCTTTGGTTTCCAAATGCATACATGAAACCATACTGTATTTGTCCTTTTGTGGCTGATTTCTTTCACGTAGTATGATCTTTTCAAGGTTTGTCCATGTTGTAGCGTGCTTGGGGATTCCAGTTCCCTTTATGGCCGCATACTATTCCATTGTGTGTATAGACCACATTTTGATTATCTGTCCGTTCATCTGTTGATAAGCATTTCCGGTTTTCTACCTCTTGGTTGTTGTGAAAAATGCTACTGTACAAACTGAGGTTGCATGTAAACTCTCAATTAGAATAACCATTGCTTGTGCTTCTTAAAAAACAAAAAGTGAACTTCTAAATCCATCTAGGACCTTGTGTACAGGTTCTTTTTCTGTTCCAGATTTCTCTTTTTCTAGGATTAGGATTGCTAATCTTATAATTCTTTGTTCAACTTTTTGAGAAACCACCCGTTACCTACAGCGGCCGCACGGTGTTACAGACCCACCAGAAACAGATGAGGGTTTCAGTTTCTCCACAACCTCACCACTTGTTAAAGTGCCTTCGAGTCAATTCTGACTCATAGCGACCTAGAGGATCCACTGTTGAGTTTGAACTGCCAGCCTTCACGTTATCCTACAGTGCCGCACCAGGACACCTCGCCAACACTAGTTGGGGGCAAAAAAGAAGATCTACAAAGAGGTGGATTGACCCAGTGGCTGAAACAATGGGTTCAAACAATGGTACAGAACTGGACAGCATTTCGTGGTTTTATACATCAGTTTTCTAGGAGTCAGAACCGACAGGATGGCGCCTAACAACAACAGATGGTTA